CCCAACAATTAGGAGGGAGCAATTTATTTTAAATTTGTCTGGCAGCTCAATAGTCTCTAAGAACATGGATAACAGTCTCATGGCTTCATAACATCTGCAACAGGAAGAATTAGACATGTTTCAATTAAATCTTTCAATATTTGTCAGAAGTCTTCCACAGGCTATTTTCCACAACAGATCTTGCTCTCCTGCAAGGCCAGGGGTTAACTTGAGCAATAAAGGTACAAATAGACTTAGGAAGCAAGGGTTTTATTTTAGACTACTCCCACTAACCATTGTGAGAAAACAAAGCCACAAGATTATCTAACTTAAGCTCAGGGAGAGGGTGAAAAGCTGAGCTAAATAGGGGTTGATTATAGACCCAAACGTCCTCCCAAAATCTGATGGTCATTCCATTACCAGGAATCTAACCAAGACCTTTATAAAAGGTATGCCAAACTAAGAGAATGCTACGCCACAAATGAGAGTGATTTTGAAAACTTGCAGCAAAGGAAACCTTTCCTAGGAAAAACTTATACTTACTACACAAAACTCGAGCCTACAAATCATTAGGGGAAGTTATGAGTTTCCAACATAATTTCATAACATAAACTTGATTTACAAGGTGAGTCTTTCTAAATCCTGACCACCCTCTAGTTTAGGCTTACAAATTTTATCCCAGCTAATTAAATGACATTTTCTATCCCCTAAAGACCCCAAATGAATTTCTTACATAGAGAATCAATTTCTTTGCACACAACCTTAGGGATGAGCATGGATTGCAAAAAATAAGTAGGAATGCTCATAATAGAGGATTAAGCTTAGGGACAATGATTTCATTTTCTATATGAAAAGCTTTTTCCTAATTTATCAACTAAGAAAACATAGTTGTGTTAAGCTGGACAGAGGTGATTAATTGAAATTCTCAAGTATTTACCTAGCTGAGCAGAATGGTTAATACTCAGAGTGTGGCTAAGGTTATGAACCAAAACAGGGTAATAGTTTTTGGAGAAATAAACTAAGTATTTATCTTTATTTATGGATAGCCCAGAGGCAGAACAGAAATCACTAAGGGTAAAACTAATCACCTCATCATTGAAATTGTCAGCTTTAGCAATAAGAAATATGTCATCAGCAAAAATAGGTGAGAAATTTAGGGACCCTCATTAGTAAAAGAGAAAGGGGTCCATTCCTCAACACTAATTTTATCATGGATTAAGTGAGCTAGTTTCTCTATACAAAGAACAAAAATATAAGGGGAAATTTGGTCCTCTTGCCTGATACCCCTATTAGGGCTAAAGTTAGTAGTATTATCATTATTCAAACTAATTGACATGGAGGGGGATGAAATGTAATGATAAATTAGCTTTTGCAACTCAATTTTCAAACCACTCTGCTGAATAGTATCCTAATAAAATTTCATCTAAGCTTATCATATGTCTTCTCTAAATCAAGTTTAATCATCATAAAACCACTTTTCCTCCCTAACTTATTAAAAGAGTGGGCCAATTCTTGAAGTATAAGGGTATTATCTATACCCTTCCAACCTTTAATGAAGCTTGTTTAGGGTTTAGGGCAGATATTAGGCTAGGTAAGGAATTCTTAATTCTATTGGCTAGAATTTTAGTAATAATCTTATAGCTCACATTGCAAAGAGAGATAGGTCTAAAATTCTTAAGATGGACAGGGTTGTCAATTTTAGGGATAAGAACAATAGAGGTAGTATTAATCTAAGATATTTTAGAAGAGTTATGAAACATGTTGTTAACCAAGTCATAGACAAAGGGAGCTAAGAGATCCCATTGACTTTTAAAGGTGATTTCAAATTTCCTATACTAAAAACAACATATTTAATTTCTTCCTTATTCAGACCAGCATTTAAAACAACTAACTCAGAGTTCATAAGGGAAGGAAAAGAGGAGACAATTTTAAAGGGGGACTATTGAGATAGGGGTCAAAAAAGATGTTCTTAAAATAGTTCACAGCCATAAATTGAAGATTCTGAGGATTAAAAACCTAGTTATTCAGGTCATCTTTAAGGGCTTCAATAAAGTTGTTTTGTCTACGAATAAGGACTGTTTTATAGAAAAAAATTATTATTCCTATCACCTAGATTAAGCTAGTTGTACTTGTATTGGTGGGCCCAAAAAATTCGTCTTAATCTAAGGTAATTTGATACTCATTCCACAAAGATTTCATCAAATTACTAAAAAAAAGATTAACAGTTAAAGCTAACTTACAGAAATTTTGTATTAATATTCCATTTAGAAATATTTTTTTGAAGGCAAGATAAATTTTCAGTCCAAGTTCTTGAAGTTAACCAGGAATTTTTAACTTGAATGGGAAAATTGCTATGATAAATCTAAGGGGTTAAAAATTTAAAAGACCTATTAGGAGAATTATAACCATTTTTATCCTTAATTTTTAACTAGAGACCAGAATAATAGAGATTTTAAAAGAGGAAGGTGAATTAAGGAACTATTTAGAAACAACATTCTCCAAGCATCATTAACAACAACTCTATGGATCCTTTCCCTAATATTTCCTTTGTGCCATGTGAAATGGTTTCCTTTAAAACCCAAATCTTGCAAATTACAACAATCCAAACAGTTTAAAAATTACGAAATCAGGCACATACTAGCAGGTCTATCTTTGAACTTCTTATGCTGAAAAAGAACAGAATTGAAATTTTCTGCTAAACACCAAAGCTTACTACCAGTAGCGCTAAATTTAAAAAGAAGACTCTAGCACTCAGCTCTTTTATTCTGCTGGGGACTAGCATGTATGGATGAAAAAATTCAATCCCATCGCCCGTTATTTCATCATATTAATATATGTTATTTCATCGTATACAATGATTAACCGTTCATACTCGAGGATAATGATCAGGTAAACGTTTCAATATGATAAGATTTCAATCTTTAATATTATTGGAATCACACTTCACTTTTAAATTAATTGTGACTGAATCCTATTGGGTTCATCATTTTTTATATTTCTAAACGAATAGATTCTTCTTAGTTTAATATTGTTTATTTTATTTTTTAAAAACTCATTATCGTTTATGTAAATGGCAGAAATATTATTTTTTAATGAAAAAGTTAGTATGATTTAAAATATATATGTAATAATCATTTATGATTTTTTAAAAGATTAATTATTTTTTAAGAAAATAATGAAAATGAGATTAATATGAGAGGTAGTTATTAATTTAAGAAAGTAAAAGGAAAAAGATCTACTTGTGTTCTGAATTATATACTATATTATTATTTTTTGCATCACAGTTTTAGGAGAAGGATCCGATTCTATTTTAAAGCAAGAAACGTCTCAAGACTTAAAAAATGTTAGACATTATTATTTGAATATATAAATTGTCAAAAGGTAATTATAGTCTTTTTCTGTGTAAGAATAACTTGTGGAAATTATTATTGGTTAGTATTGAATTTATTGCATTGGATTTTTTCCAAATATTCAGCAAGAACTTAAAAGATATAAATTAAAAAAATAAATATATTTAAAATTGAAAAAGGATATATAAAGAGTTAGAACAAAAAATAATTTAAATTTAAAATTAAAGAGAGAGAATAAAATATTTAAAAATAACATGTGTCATTAGGTGTGAGATTAATTTATTATTATATAAAAAAATATTTTAACATAATTTAAATTTCTAATATTACATTAATAGAGACTAGTTTAAGTAACGAATGGTTTAATATTGTTTAAATAAAGTCTCGACTTCGAATTTATTAAAATAAATAAATAAAAAATCTTGAGTTTGAGTCCATTAAACAGGAAGAGAAAAAAAAAAAACTCTAATATTACTGCTAGTAAAGCTGAAGCTCCTCCTATTATTCACCGGGAATTTAGTTAAATTGGTGACACCTTAGTTGTAATAAAACTTATTTTTTATACAATTTATAAAATGATGATTTTGGTGTGCTTTTCAGCTCTTCAGATTTTGTCTGTCTGTCTCTCACTTTCTCTACCTACGTTATTGACTTTTTGTTTAGTGAAAAGGACTCTAAAAAATCCCCGTTTTCCCAACAATGCTTGGTAGGGTTAGAATAACTAAATTCAAATGATAACAGCACTCTGCATATGCAAATTTATTCAGAGATCTCTAATGTTTATATAATAATAGCTCCCAGTCCCAGACCAAGCTATGAGAGGAATGCATGATTAATTTTTCATTTTGGACGTAAATAACAATAATTGGAACTACATTTTAGCTTTCTATAATATTAATACATCCGAGGAAGCTAGATTTCAACGCTCATATTATATATAAAAAATGTAAATCTGCATCAGCCTACGTTATGCACTGTTTTCCAGTCAAAAATGACTGCAAATCACGGGATGCGTAATCGAGACTTTCATTGGGCATTTGGCTGACCTTAATTAAAAACCATTAGTTAATTTATGTAATTTTTTATTATCTTATATTAATCAGCGTCCTTAAAATATTCATTAATAAATAATTCTTTTTATTAAAAATTACATTAAAGATACGTTAATAATATTTTAATTAATAAAAAAATTATATTTCAATTCTTTAATAATGTGCTTAAGACTTTAATTAACATATATTATTTTTATAATTACGTTGTCATTATTTTGTTTATCTATGTCACAAATATCTTATAAGTATTTAATTTATTAGACAATCCTGTTGAAATAGAATAAGATTATTACGTGACACAACTTTTCACGGAAGATAAAAATAAAAACTCTACGTACATTGTTATTTATTAGTTAATATAAAAAGGGGTTTAGTTATCTGCTCTTGTTGGTAGCAGTTGGCCTAGCTTGTTTTCTTGTGTTGGAAAAGAAGCTCAACAACATGGCACCATTGTCAACTCTTATGACTCTATCTATTTTCTTCCGTGGAGTAGTTATGACCTAACTTTGTCACTACTTTCTCCATATATTGACTCGTTTCACTTCTAAGATGTGCCACAAACTATGGTGTTAGAAGAAAGCATGATCATTTCATGAAATCAGAAGCATTGTGTCTTTATTTTTCTTCCCAGTAAGCAATTATTTTCTCTTCAAGATGCTTAGTGTCATTAGAAGGAAACTACGGCGCCTATATTCAAGGATATTGTGGTTATTGTGGAAGCGCCCCAGGTCCAAAGTTGTTGTCAAAAGGTTTAGGAAATTGAAATGCAAGAGTAACTCTAGAACACAACTGTGTCACAACAAATCTATAAGTCACTCTAATGGCCTCTTAGTTGAGTCTGAATCTGTAAGGCCTATTAGAATTGCCACATTCAATGTTGCAATGTTTTCCCTTGCACCTGCTGTTTCAGAATTTGATGAATGGGTTGTCTCCAATCATGAACAGGGATCTAACAAGAAGAATTCAACAAAAGGTGATTTTCCCAAGAGTATATTAAAGCAATCTCCATTGCATGCATCTATGCATAAGGCACAGAATCTTATGCCACGATCAAATTTGAAGGTTTCTATTAATCTTCCTGATAATGAGATTTCATTGGCAAATAGTAGATTGCTTGCTTCAATGGAAAACAAAGAGGGTACATCAGATACAATTTTTGGCAATGTTTCTGGAAGACACCAAGTTCCAGCAAGGTCTCCTGTATGCTTTCCTTTCATTATGAATTACTGTGATAGCACTGAGAAATTCACAAGCAGTAGAAGCATCCTTGAAGTTCTCAGGGAGATTGATGCTGATGTGTTGGCATTGCAAGATGTGAAGGCAGAAGAAGAGAAGAACATGAAGCCTCTTTCTGATTTGGCAGGTGCCTTAGGGATGAAATATGTGTTTGCTGAGAGTTGGGCTCCAGAATATGGAAATGCCATCTTATCCAAATGGCCAATTAAGAAGTGGAAAGTTCAAAAGATTGCTGATGATGATGATTTCAGGTGCTTTATTACTCTCATGATTCCATTGAAATAATTGCCACTTTTCAGTTTCAAATTAGTTTGTTAATTTTTTATGTGTGAAAAATGCAATGGCAATTGTTTGTGTGCTGTAGGAATGTTTTGAAGGCCACAATTGATGTGCCCTGGGCAGGTGAAATAAACTTCCACTCTACTCAACTCGACCACTTAGATGAGAATTGGAGAATGAAGCAAGTAAATGCAATAATCCATTCCAATGAGCCTCCTCACATATTGGCAGGAGGTCTCAATTCTCTATATGGAGCAGATTACTCATCAGAGAGATGGACAGATATTTTTAAGGTAAAATTCTAAGTTCTCACAACTAATTACATTAAATTTTGTTTCTTTTCCATTCCTACAAGGCAAACTACACATCTTAGAGAATTTTCATTTGTTGTAGTATTATGAGAAACTTGGAAAGCCTAGGCCGAGGTCAGAAGTGATGAACTTCATGAAATCAAAGGGTTATGTTGATGCAAAGGATTATGCAGGAGAATGTGAGCCCATTGTCATCATTGCCAAAGGCCAAAGTATTTTGCTTCTTCCTTTGTTTATCTACTAATTGAATTTGTTTTAATATGAAGTATAATTTCGTTCTTATAAAGTTATTAAAATTTAATTCAATGACGCAATTAAATTTTATTTATTTTTAGTCCTTATAAATATAAAAATTATGCACTTTTAGTCTTTAACCAGGGACTAAAAATACATTACTTTTATTAAATATATATAAGGATTAAAAATAAATAAAATTTAATGAGTACTCAGAAAGACCAAAAACATATATAACTCTATTTTATTATTATGATTGGTCAATGTTCAAACAACAAAGTTTAATTTGAATGGTCGAACAGATGTGCAGGGGACATGCAAGTATGGCACAAGAGTTGATTACATTTTGACTTCTTCAAGCTCACCTTACAAATTTGTTCCTGGGTCATACTCAGTGATTTCTTCCAAAGGCACTTCTGATCACCATATAGTGAAGGCAGACATTGTGAAAGTAAACCTATCTGCTCAGAAAAATGTCATTAGACAGTGCAGGAAAATAAAGCACAAGGTTGTCAAAATAACACCACCATGTTCTGTAACAGGTATATGGGAATCAACCCTACCACCTCCCAAAATACTTGTGCCATAGAAAATCTTGATTCATAGAAGTAATATAGTATATTTTGATAACAATGTGTTAGCTGTAAAGTTATGGACAATTCTCAGTGCCCTTGATTGAAACTAAGCCACAAATTGATGAGGTCTCCAAATTCCATATATGAATATTGTCCTTTCCTCTAATTTTCGTACCTTCATATAAATAGTTCAATTAAGGTTGTGATAATTTTGTATGCAACATCCGATTAACCTTAACATTATGATGTTGCATCATATTGCAAGTAATTTAAATATGGCATGAGTTTACAACTACTGTTTTATTTTTTTTGCCCGGGGTGGTGGAGTACAATAAGTGTTTATAATTTTAATACTTGTACGTATATATCAGGAAATTTGGTATTTAAGGTTATAAATTAATTTAATAATAAAGCGTGGCAAAAGAACCTAATCGAATTATATATCTAAGTGAACTAGGCGTCACAAACACAAGGGTTTTTTTGCCTGTATAGGGTTTAATCAAAAATATTTTATCTGTATGGGGTTCTTTGACAAAAAATTTTCTGTCTAGGGTGATTTGTGAGTGTCGTCGAAACTGCTGGCGACACATGATCAAGTATCGGCTGAAAGAATGCCGACACATGTGTCAGACCCGAATACTGAGAGCGGTTCAAAAGGAACTGCTCTCATAAATCAATTTTAGAGAGCGGTTCCGTAACAACCGCTCTCTAAAATTCACTTCTTAGAGCGGTTCAATTCAAACCGCTCTCTAAAATGGACTTTTGAGAGCGGTTCGAATTGAATCGCTCTCAAAAGTCATGTTTTTAATTTAATTATTTTCCTATTTTCTCAAATTAATAAATAGGAATATAGAAAAATAGAAAAATAAAAAAATAGTTAAATTAAAATATATAATTTTCTTGTTACTTATGTAAAAAATAATTAAATAAGAAATATAAAAGAATTAAATTGAATAAATATATGAGGAAAAATTATGTGTGATTATTATTATAAGGTTAATAAAATATAAAATTATGAATAACAAAATAAAATTGAAATAATAAGAATGAAAAACATTAATTAATAAATTTATATTATAAGAATCTGCAGTTGTTAAATTTGTAATAATATTTCAACAAATATTATGTCACATAAATAAGAAATAGTAAATAAATTAAAATTGTGAAAGATTAAAATATAGTTATGCATCAAATAATTATAAATTAGATTAATTTAAAAAAAATTAGAGTAAAATATAAGGAATTAAGTGAAATAAAGATGAATATATAAGCAATGTAAGTTAAATAAAATTGAAAATATTATTTTAAAATAAAAATGACTGAAAATAAAAATATTAGATCAATATTAATTTAGACATTTGAATATTTTAAAAATTTTGTAGTTATTTAAATGGTTTTAATCAATAATAATAAATTACAATTTTATGCATGTAAAAAAACAAAAAAAGGGAAAGAGAAAAATAGGAAAATAATTAAATTAAAAACATGACTTTTGAGAGCGGTTCGAATTGAACCGCTCTCAAAAGTCCATTTTAGAGAGCGGTTCCGTAACAACCGCTCTCTAAAATTGATTTCTGATGACTGTGTCGGCATTTTTTCAGCCGATACTTGATCATGTGTTGCCATCAGTTTTGACGACACTCACAAATCATCCTAAACAGAAAATTTTTGGTCAAAGAACCCCATACGCATAAAATGTTTTTGATTAAACCCTATTCAGGAAAAAAAAAACCCCAAACGCAACACTACCTGCATTCATGTTCCAGTGGGTACCCACTTTCATCCAAAACTTACACGCAAGCTCTAATGTCCCCTCAGCGTTTCTGGAAATATGAGCCCAAATTTAAGAAGAGCCTACATTGTCAATTCCCTTCACAAGACGCCATGCAATTTGGTCAACTAGATTATAATTACTTTTTTGCTATTTTTAATTTAGAATAGATTGATTTAATATAGTATATATGTTGAGATTCAAATTTTAAATTTACTTTAATCATACTACTTAAGAAAACTACAAATATAAAAAAAAATATTTAAGATACTTAATGCATGATAAATTACCTGATTCATGAAAAATATAATAAGAAAATTATGTTAAAAAATAAATATAATATTCAGGAGTGGATAAGATACCTTTATTACTAATACTATTTTGGCGTCCATCAAAATGAAACATTGAAGTATACTCTATTTTGAAGTGTACTCTTGAAATAAATAAAATAGGGATGACGTGCCGATATGGGCTTGGCAAAAGGTGCAATTCACATTAAAAGAAATTTAGTCAACCAATCCAATATTAATGTCTCTATATGTCATGTCAATGAGTCCTTCAAGTTGGGTTGAAGTCATGAGCTTGCAGCCCAGTCCATAAAGAATAATTAATTCTTTTATCTAAAATACACTTATTTTTAAAAAAAATATTTTTCTGTATGAGTTTATTTTATACACAAAATTTGAATTAGGATATTATTTTTTAAAAAATAAACATGTGTTACTTAAATTAATAACTTATTGATAAATTCTTTAATTATTTTATGTGGACTTTTCGTAAAAATTTTATTAAAAATGTATTTTTAACACTTGCGCCATGTGTAAAAACTGAACCTATTTTTAAAAGCTACCCATTTTTCAGGAAAGGCATTGAGATAAATAGCTATTACTTAAGAATTTATCTACGTTAGATGAGAATCAACAGTGAAGAATGCGTCCATGTATTGATCTCCTATTGTAATTCTGTTTCCAATCAGTTTAAATTTTACTAGTTTAAGGTATTTTTCCCACTCTACGTTTTTTAGCCATTTCTTGGCCAAGTAACTAAATACAAGACAAGGAAGCAGATAATGTCTTAGCATTTATATGATGATTATATATTGTGTAAGAAAAATAGTTTTTTTTTAAATAATAATAAAAATACAGGAAAGATTCATATAGGGTAATTATATAAAAAGCTTGTGTTAACCTTCACATGTTAAAAGTAATCGATATCTAGTCCCACATGGAAGAGCAAGAGAAGTAAAATTATTCTTATGCCTTTTATCAAAAAATAAAGTGTGCTCACAGTTCTTAGCGGCAAACATCAATTTCTGTAAAAGCTTCTGTAAGTGAATAACTCTGTCTCTAAGTTTTTCAAAGTTCTTTCACTGTCCAAAACCATACATACCAAATTTAAGGAACGCGTTACTGTTACAGTCCACTTGGATGAGGAAAGAATGCGAAAAAGGAAAGAAAAGAGGACAACCAGATAGAAGGTTATTCGTTCTGATTCACAAATATAGGAGGATAAACAAAAAGCTTTGTGAGACCAATATTATGAGAAAACAGGGAGAGAGAACATGATTTTTTTTGGTTTTATTTATTTTTATTTTAGATATAACAAATTTAAAACATCAAATATCAATTTTTTTTATTAAATTACGTCAATTATAGAGAAAAAACAATAATTTACTAAAATATAAGAATTAAAACTAAAACAATTACTAAAATATAAAAACTATATTTAAACCATGAAAATTTATTTAAGTTATAGTATTTTTAAATTAGTAGAATATTATTTTTCTTCTTCTTGTTTTTACCTATTTAAACAACACTTTATTTTATTTTATTTTAATCCTTTCTCATCTCCTATGTTTTTCCCCCCTCTATTTCATGTCCCTTGTCCAGACAAAGCCTTAAAAGTCACATAAAATTGATCTTATATATCATGCTTAACAAGATACAAACACTGAGAGAATTGGTACAAACAAATGTAGAACCAAAATAGAGCAAGTTGGTGTATGCAACAATATACATGAAACACGAGATTATGTTTGGGACTTTTGGGTAGGATCATTAGAATCAGCGCTAGTAGGGTACCCAATTCCATGGCGGTTATTAGGGAATATCACAAAAGCAGCACTTGCAACCGCCCCAATAACCGGTGGCAACACCTGCAACAGAATTTTCTCACCAGACTCAAATCCCGGGTAGTAACAATGCACAGTGTTGGTGTCAAGTAACCCCAACACAGCAAACACAACCAACGAAAGAGAAGCATGCACGAAGTCCCCAAACCGGAGCTTATACGCCGACAAGTCAGCGGACTCCGACGCCGGAGAGGGCCACAGTCCCTTGGCCGTGACAACGCCGTAATGCCTCTCGCCGTCGGTGCCGGTGTAACTGTCGGTGAAGGAAGCGAAGGCACAGTTAAAGGCACAAATGACGAGGAGAGCGCCGGTTAAGTATTTGTTCAAGGTTGTGCAGTGTCCACTGTTTGTGACGACAGGGATTAGGAACTGAAAGAGAAAAACAGTGCCTGTTGGAAGAAGCTTTATGAGGTTTCCAACACCGGATAATGTTTTCCCTGTCATGGTTGCAGGACCTTTCTGGGTGCTTGTTGTTGGTATCAAGCTGCTTTTTGCATTCATTTTGTTTCTTGCAGTTCAAGGTTTAGTGCACTCTCACGTTCTATGTGTTTGGGTTCTTTGGATTGGGGTAGTGTTGTGCTGTGTGGGTTTTATAGAAGCGGAAGAAGAGAATTAGTTGCTTCTACGCAATGTGGAATGGGCTCATACCAGAGTTTAAGTCGCTTTTACTTTGGGAAAGAGCCACCCAGCTTCAATTCTAATTCAAGCTTTCACGAGCTTTGCAATTTCTTCACAACCTTTTTAAAAGGATTAACACCAACGTTTAATTTTTTTATAAAAATTATGCTCATAATTTTATTATTAATATGAAGTGTGCTATCACTAGCCTTTTAGAGAGTAAGTATTGTTGATATTTCTCAAAATTTTAAAAGTCATTTTGTTATGCTAAGAGTAGAAACTATCAAATTGCTGGAATTTTGTTATTTTCTTTTATTTGGCGTGTTATATTATGCTATCTATATCTTGTCATTGAAAATTGAGTTGAGTTTAACAGAAAATGAACCAGATACTCATCGGCTAGGTATATACAGCAACCATTGTTATTTATTTAGTAATAATAAAATTCATAAATTCTGAAAATTTATAGTTCTCAGTCTTAGTTATGTCTTATTTGTAAAAAGGAAAAAATTTCTTTAATTATATAATTATATATTATCCATTCACTGGTGGGACGTATGATTCATGTAAAACGTGTAGGATAACACAACTCTACCATATATGCATTATAATTGTTGGGGAAAACGATGTCCGATACAATTTTTGGGTTTATTTAAAGAATTACATATACTATAATTCAATTTGGTTATTTAAATATCAACGTTTGACAATTATTAATTATATTTACTATTTTCAAGTAATAAAACAAAGTTTGGTTATATATATTATATTTGACTTATGACTTTAGTGTATATTTTCTTATGAATTATCCTCTTATTACCAAATACATATGTCCACCAGTGAACGGGCCAGAACGGCTGAGCGCGCATAATACAGATAAATTCTACTATAAATGTAATTTATGTAACAAAAAGTTTAATTTAGTGGTTATGAAATTAATTAACAATTTACTATATAACTTTTTTAATATATAATATATATTTAATAAATATCAATAAAAGTCTATCTTATCTAAATTTAATATATATAAATATATAAATAAATTATATTTAAAATGAAATAAACATGTTAGTGTAAAATATTAGTAGTTTCAGAAAATATTTTTATTTTTATTTTTTAATTACAAAATTATCATCTTATTTTTATTTTTAAATATTTGTACACTAAACATTATATATATATTGATCAATTAAACTCACAAACATTATATATATATATAACTAATTATAACTAAAATATAATAAAATAAAAGCAATATATAAACCAAACATCTTGCATGTTCATTATTATTGTTGACTATCTCTGTACCTCTTGCTTTTGTTTGGAAAAACAACGTTTTTACCTTTGTATTATTACCAGCATACTATTGATGTGATGTACGGTAAAATTCAATTTTAAATATAAATTTATTAATACATATTACTAAATTAAATAAAAAATATTATTATAAAAGATCTAAAAAGATATGAAATAAAAGTATATACAATGAGAAAGTAGTTTATTTTAAAGTAATTAATTTCAATAATTATTTACGTATAAATATAAATTATTAAAATATAATATAAGTTCCTTTTAACTAAAACATAATTAATAAAAAAATATAATTTTTTATTAGTTTGAAATGGATATTTTATATCTTGTTTTAACATAAACAATTTATAACACACTTTTAAATTCGTATTATAAATAAAATTTAAGCAACTTTCATTTTTATCATTAAATGTATAAGTTAAGCAATTAAGCGTGTTTAAAATTGTGTATTTAATTTCCTCTAAGTTATACATCAAATATATATAAAGACTTCTGATCATATTCAACCTACTTTATACATGAAAAATTGTTCTTACATATTCGGTTGACGATTGTAATGTGACTATTTAAACTGCCATTCACCATCGACCCAAATTTGTTTTTATTAAATATCAAAATCAGCTCTCTCAAACCCCTCATGTCCTTTTTTTTACTATGTAATAATGTCATGGAAAAGAAATGTGGCATTACTGATTAAAATTCTTACATTGTTTTCTTTATTAAAAGTTATACAAATTTCCCAATATATGAAGACAAAAGAGTGTTAGGTTATTAGAATAATGAAGTTCTTATATACTCTATATTTACTTGCCGATATTTTCTTTTTCAAATATTCATTTATTTGACATCTTAATTAAAAAAAAAAAACAATTTTAACTCCTAAATTACTCTAATTAATTCCATCTTCTTCTTGATTTCCTTTCAAAACGATCTTATAATGATAATCTTAAAACTTCACAGCCAATCAGCAAATTACAGTTTTAGTTTCCATAAGATTAAATTTATTTTACGTCCACGTAAGTAAGACTGGGCTTCAACTATCAGTCATATATGAAGCTTCACACATAAATATAAGTCAAACTATATGAAATATAATCAATGCACTGATTGAAAATGAAGACATAAAACTAACTTAGTTAATTCCTTGAATGAGGAGTTTTCGTTGTTTTGGGAAAAGTTGTGTTCAGCTGAAACTTGAACTTGAGCAAGAGCTTAGATCATTCACAAATTCCTTGATGCTACATGTAACTTGTAGACAAACCAGGAAGTCACATATGAATACAAGGAACGATACATCATTTGATTTATGTTATATCAGAAAAGTATCACCGTTTTCTTTCTTTTTCATGAATGAATGATTGGTGTCACAGTTTGCTTCCATTTGCTGTCTTTGCAACATTAATTGCAGTTCGAAAAGGAGCTGATTGCTAGACTCAGCCATTGCTCCTTAACTTTTCTTTTTATTTAAACTATTAAAAAATAATATTATATGTAATATAATCTATATTTTTCGATATATATGTTTGGAGATTGACGTCCTTCACCGTTTATATATATAATTTTGAAATGATATTAATTATTATTTTTTATTTCACCAAAAGATTATCATTTATTAACACTTCAATATTGAATTAGCTTCCATTAGTATGGATATTTTCTAACACAAATAGGATTGTTGATATAAATACTTTAAATTTGTACTAGCAATATGTTCGATTATAGTAACAAGTAATTTTGCTAGCAATTAACGTTAATATACACTACCAATACAAAAACATTGTTATAGTACATTATTTTTTAGTAGGCCTTTGAATGCTTTACTAACAAACTTATTTTTTTAGATAAAGTCTATACTAAGACGGGTCATTTTGATAATTTTTTATGTGTTAGTAAATATTTTTTTCGTAGTGTTTGTATAAAACTTATAGTGCAATAAATAATATATTTGTAGTAGTTAATTAAGTAGTTCAAAAAAATCATTAAAAAAAAGGATATATTAGAAAGTTTATCAAATAGTTTAAATGAAATAATTAAATTCTTTTACCTGTGCAGTTTCTTTTCACTTTACACAGATAAAATAGAAGAAAAATATTATTGATATAAACATCATTTTCTAGTAAAGGATGCAAAAGAAAGAAAGAAAGAAAGAAGTAATGTGATAAAAAAAGAAAAAAGTAAAAAAGTAAAAATTTTATAAATATAAATATACCAATATCATTGTTATTTTAGAGGTTAACCCCAAAGATTTAAACCAATAAGATTAATTAAGTGAGAACTACGTAACATATTAAGTAGGTATTAGAAAGTGCAACATTATCGAACTCTCCTATTAATTATTTTAATATCTAATTATATTTTGATCTCTTATCAATATGTATGCACGTTGTAAAAAATTTGACTATTTTGACCGACAGAATGTTAACCTCCTTTAATTTTAAAGTATATTTTTACACTCACATTATGCTAGTACAAAATATAAATAAATCTGAACTGATTTCGCATGATGTAATGAAATTATTTCCAAATTATTATTATTTAATTCAAACTTATTTTTAAAATATGTTAATAATTTCATACAACTTTCAAAATGAAAAGATAGTTTTTAAAACTAGTTACAAAAAGTTAATTCTCTTCTATTAAAATGCTATAAATGACTTCTATATGCTATAGGAACTTAAACCATCAAAGAATAACATATAATATTAATAAAAATAATAAATCATCCTCAAATAATCTTGAAAGAAATATTAGATAATATAGTTTATTTTTTTAATAAAATTAAGATCCTTAAATAAGATTAAAACAAAATTTAATTAGCGTAATTTAAATGTTTGAGACCTAAAGTAATATATTGTTACCTATAATATATTTTTTTATATTTAAATTCTAGAACTAATTTTGATAATTATAACTGACTAACATGTTTTAGAGTTTAAACTGTCAATGTCCGAATGGTAATATATATTAAAGAGATTGATAGAATAACTTTTAAATTCTTTAAAAATAGCTTAACTTCATAATCTACTTTGAAAAACTTATAAAACTATAAGCTTATATGAACCTAATAAAGTGTTTGAGTATAGATGTCCGTCATTGTTTGGGACTTTGACACTTTTTTTTTTCTTCTGATCATCTCCCATTAAAACCCAATTTCCAGTCTCTTCTTTCTTGTAGAACAAAAAAAATCCAATACACCATCTTCAAATCTCACCATCATCATCTCATGATATAATTAATCAGCACCGCACCCTCCCCCTCCCCCCACTTTTTGGCCCTTTTGTTTCCGTCAAATTTGAGGTTAATTTTGTTATACAACTTTAGTTTTCAGAGATGTTACTCTTTTGTCTGCAAATGCTTGAAAATGCCTGCATAAAGATAGTGGTATATTATCAAGTAGAACAAAATAGCATCATTTTTCTTTATTGTTCATCTTTTAATCATACATGTGCTTGTATTTTATCATAATTTTAATTCCTTTTAGTAAATAATTATAATTTAATTTATATTTAACATGCACTCTACCTTAGAGAAATCATAACCTTCTTTAAAATGTTAGTGGAAAATATATTATAAGTATTTTTAGATATTTAATAATTCAAAATTTAATTTAGAAATAC